CAGCGGGGAGCCTGCTTCTCCCTCTCCCGCTCCCCCCTGCTTGTGTTCCCTCTCTCGCTGTCTCTCAAATAAATAAATAAAATCTTTAAAAAAAAAAAAAAGTAGTTTTGTCTGTAGAGTAGTCCCCACTTAGATGAGCAGTGTTTTAAACAATTAAATTGACTATCCTAATAAAAGTAATTAAGATACTGCTAAGAATATAATAAGCTCATTTTTAAAAATTCAGACATCACATTTTTACTGTAAATAAACAAAGGCAATGCCCAGGCTTCTGGTCTACTACTCCCTCAGAATCTCATGATTTCTATTGGTCTAGAAAAATAAGATAAGTATTCTCTACGTTTATTGTATCTCATCTGTAATATATAAGCAACAATAACCAGGGAAATCAACAAACCAAAGGAAATCCCAAGTAAGACCCTGAATCATTGTTTATTGGCTAAAAACTGTTGCTAGTTTTTGGACAAGGCTAGAGGAAGCGCTCCTGTATTCTAGGCTAATGGTTCTAGAAAGTATGGTCGCTGGAAAAGGAGCATCACCAGGGGACTGTTAGAAATGCAAATTCTCAGGCAGCATCCCAGACTGACTGCATCAGAAACTCAGAAGGTAGACCCAACAATTCACAGTCGAACAAACCCTCCGGGTGATTCTGATACAGGCTTGCATTTGAGAGCCAATGTGAAAGGCACGTAGTTACTTTCCTATTGTCCTAACTGAGCAGTGATGTGCAAAATCCAAAACAAAGATACTTTGGCCAGAATGTCAAAAACAACTATAGGTAACTTAATCAAAAATGGGATATATTAGAAGAGTTTCAGGTGCGGGGGGGTGAGGGGGTAGGTCACAGAATCCTTGCTAGGTTTCATGATAGAATATGGGAAGTGATCAAAACATCCGGACAGCCAAGGAGATCTTTCTCTTAATGAGAAACAGTATGGCCAGGACGCCACCCCTGCTCCCCTAGGACTTAACGCCATCTGTCCGTACATCTCAAGATTGTAAGCACCAGAAGGAGTTCCCAATTGGCTGAGTCTAGACCAGGCCCCATGCCCTGGCTGCCAGGGGACAAGAGGGGAAGATAAAGCCACTTTGACTTTTGTAGTGGGAACTGGGCCACTGCCTCCTGCCCAAACTACACACAGTAGGGCTTTCTCCCTAATAGGAAGAGAACTGAACAACTCCCACATGGCTAATGTCTGCCCCAGGAATGTGATGGGGGAGGGAGTGCAGCAGACTAACATTTGCTGTGATTGGAATAAACCGATAACCAGGAATTTAGAGTTCAGTATTTGATTCCCCAAGCACGTGCTGATTCTCATGCGAAGACAGAGGAATCCTGACAAGAGGAAAGGCTGAAGGAATTCACTGGAAAATTTATGAATCACACACTCTTGCACTAATTATAAAAAAAAAAGACTTGTAGTAAGTGCCCATCTGTGACAAATATTAACCAGGGCTTGTGCTGGCAAGGAGGTGACCCAATTTCCCAGTCCTGCAGATGCGCTGAACCAGTCACCAAATCATTGCTCTCTGCATTCTGCACAGTGTTTGAATCACTCATCTTTCTGCGGAGATCCAGCAAGGCTCTAATCTTACCCTGATTGTGCAAAAATAGAAACAAGTGCAGATGAATGTGATAAAGATTCTCCTAGTACCAAGAAAGGGGCGGGAGCTGCGTACCTCATTATTTAAAGGCATTCATATAAACAAATTGAGTTAATTTGGGGTTCTGTTGTGTGTGAGGGAAGGATGCTTATATAATTATTAGCTTCCACTCCTGCTAAGTGAACATGATAAAGATTTTCAGGGATAGCTATTTCCAATCCAAGTTCATCCTTTCTTCGGTGCCTCTCCATAGCACTGTCCATGTGCTGCAAGTAGACCCTTTGTCCATCTGTCCATCTCTCTAGACTGCATCAATCCTCTGTCTGCCCAGGATCCCCCTGGAAGGATAGGGGAGGATGGGGCTTAGGCCACAGAATAGATGCCCATTTTTTCTTTCCAGGAATACGGTTTTGTCATTTGTATGCACCAATTTATAATATAAGTTCACTTTTCCTCTTTATTGTACAGTAGAAGATAAGCAAACATTTATTAGGAAACTTCAATGTGCCAGGCAACGTGCTAATGTGCAAGGAATTTTTTTTTTTTTTTTTTTGCTATTATAAACCTTTTTTGTTGTGAAATATAACACATGTAAGGAAAGGTGAAACTCCTATGGAGTCACCAGGAGGTAAAGAAATAGAACATCACCAGACCCCAAAAGACCCCTACATTCATCCTCCCAATCACAATCTTTCCCAGCCTCCTCCCGGGGTAACCACTCTCCTCTTATTGTAATCATTTCTTTGCTTTTATTCATAGTTTTATTAATGAAGTGTGAATCCTTAAGTATACGGTTCTCTTTTGCCTGTTTTTGAACTTTAAGTGGAACTATATAGTATGTACTATTTTGCATCTGAGTTTTTTCTAACTCAACATTATGTTTCTGAGATTTATCCACATTATTGTGTTGTGGCTATAGTTCATTTATTTTTATTGTTTGCGTAGTATTCTTTATATGACTATACTTCAATTTATCCATTCATAGACATTTGAATGTTCCACTTTGGGGCTAATATAAACATTATGTTAAACTGCATTTTGACTAATATGAGCATTATATTAAACTGCATTTTCTGATTACTAATAGGGTATTACTTTGGCTATTTGGAATCCCTTTAGCGAAGTGCATATGCAATGTTTTGGGTTTCTTTCTCCATTTTTCTATGGGATTTTCTGTCTTTCTTACTGATTTATAGGCATTCATTACGTAGTTTGGATATGAGCTCTCAGGTTTTTTTCCCAATTTTTTTATTGTGGCAAAATATGCATAATATAAAATTTACCGTCTTAACCACCGTTAAGTGTAAAGTCAGTGGTATTAAATACATTCATAATGTTATGCTTCACCACCATCATCCATCTCCAGAACTCATTTCATCATGTAAAACAAACTCTGTACCCATTCAACAACTCCCCATTGTCTCCTTCCCCCAGCCCCTGGCAATCACCGTTCTGCTTTCTGTCTCTGCGAATTTGACTATTCCAGAGACCTCATATAAGTGGAATCAAACAATATTTGTCTTTTTGTAACTGGCCTGTTTCGCTTAACATAATATCCTTAAGATTAATCCACATTGCAGCAGGTATCAGAATTTTCTCCCCTTTTAAGGCTGAATGATATTCCATTGTATGGAGAGACCATACTTTGCTAATCCATTCCTCTGTTGATGGACATCTGGGTTGCTTCCATGTTTTAGCTATTGTAAATAATGCTGTTGTGAACACAGGTATACAAATCTCTCTTCAAGACCCTGCTTTCGATTCTTTTGGGTAGATACCCAAAAGTGGAATTGCTGGATCATATGGTAATTCTATTTTTATTTTTTGAGGAATCACCACTGGTTTCCATAATGGCCATACCATTTTACATTCCTACCAACAGTGTAAAAGGGTTCCAATTTCTCCACATCCTCACCATCACTTGTGTTTTCTGGTTTTTGATAATAGCCATCCTAGTGTCCGTGAAGCGGTATCTCATTGTGGCTTTGATAATGCATTTCCCTGATGACTGACGTTTATCATCTTTTCATGTGCGTGTTGGCCATCTGTAGGTCTCTGGAAAAATGTCTATTCAAGTCCTTTGTCCATTATTGAATCAGGCTGTTTGGCAAAGAATTTTAAAAGGTTGATGAGGTATGGTCCCTGCATTTTTGTGGCTCATGTCTGGTAGTGGAAACCATCACATAAGCAAATAACATATAAATAAGGCAGAAGAGCCACACTGAAGTCTTCCCTTTCTTATGGACATCAATACACTATTGGTGTCCATAGGCAAGGGGAAGGGTTTGGCTGCTTCACCTGGATGCATGTAGAAAAAAAAAAAAAAGAACTTGCACGTGCCTTAAGCAGCAAGTTTCTAAAGAGTTTCAAAAATGAGCTGTGATCCATTCAGAAACATCACCAATTTAAATTTGATACTCAGGATGTATGGTTGGTAACTTTATTTCTCATAAGGCAGCCCCAAAACCTTTGCTTTTTAAAAGATTTGAGCAGCTTTCTCAACAAGCCATATCTATTTCTGCTGTGAGTTTTTATCTTAGGTTGTCACTTAGAGGTATAATCAATGTAGACATTGCAGTTTGCTCAGCAAGCAAAGTCTGTGATGTCTTAACTAAGCACAGGACAGGACTGCCATGCCTCTCTCTAATAAGTGAGAGTCTTTGAAATCAAATGGGAATACAGTTTTCTTCTAAGGAAAGTACTAGCTACAAAGGAGAAAAACTGTACTTTCTACAGTTGCATTTGTGGATTATGGTTGGATTCTCTACTCATTGATGAAAATTAAAAATCTTGAATATTGTTATCCCAAATAAACTATATTGCATCTGAATGGAATATTTTGATAATAAAGGGCTGGTCTTAGGAGAATGCCTTCCTTCGAAAAAAGGTAGAGCTAAGAATCATTAGAGATGTTTCATGGAACCCATCAGCTAATGCATCCTTCGCCTAAAGGAGTTTCCATACTCTGAATGCAATCCTTTGCAGAATAATTCCTATTTAAGCAGGAGGGGAAAGGGGGTGGGGGACTGGTATCAACAATGAATGACTTAGGCAAGCTATGAACTTGCCAGTGCCTGAAATACAGTATTGGGTAGCACTAGGGTCTTTTTTGACAAAGAGCTATTTCTCTTCTTATTGGGAAGAATTGGACTGCAGGTTCAAAAGAAAGAGTTGCCAACTTGACCCTCAGTCACTCAGCTTAGAACATTCCTGGGGTTTTGAGAGAAGAGTACCTATAGTTAGGAAGCTAGATTTATGGCCGCAGGCAAAGAGAAAGCAAGCCCGTGTCTACAGCATACCTGGTTATTATGGTAGGTATACTCCTTGGAAATCCTTAGAGAAGTCCTATAAAAATCACTTTGAAGCCTCCCACATCTGCACCTGTGTCTTCACCTTCCCAACAGTGATGGTGGAGGGTCCCCCCCATCAAAAAAATCACTTTCAAGCCTCCTTTGGATCCCGATATCTTGATGACCCAGACGTTACCTTCCCTCCCTTTCCTTAAGACTAGAGACATGTCACAAACTCTTTAACAATCACCAGAGTTTCCTTTCCTTAAAATACACACAGAACTAAGAACCCAAGGCACATAAGAACCAGGGTAAACCCAGAACAATTAATTCCCTAGCAATCCTCCCATTAGGGATACAACTGGGAGTGGATTTGGCATCAGCAGAGTGAGCTTAAATACTCTATTTGCTGGCTATGTGATCATGGGTGATTCCCTTACATCTCTGAGCTTCAATTTCTTCTTCTATAAAATAGATATAATACCAACATCATGCCACTTTTATAAGAATTACTGGTATGGAAGATGTTATCTGTGAAAACCCTTTGTAAAAGTGTCATTTAAATAATTCTTAATCTAGGGGTGCTTGTATCTAAACCTGCAGCCTTCCAGAGAAGACTTTCCTTTATAAATTTACTCAACTGAATGTGTAGGTAGGAACCAGAACTTTATAAGTAATACAAGTTCCCATAAGTTTTAATAATTGTTAAGTGTTATGATTCTCCCACTCCCCCCTCTGACCCTGAAAAAAAAAAAAAAACACTTTAAAAGCTTTCTAAACAATCACATTTCTCAAAAACAAGCAAATCAGAGATATGGAATCTTTTCCCATTTATGATTCACCCAAACCGAGTGAAAGGGTGTTTACTTTAGAGAAGAGAAACTCACACACTGAAAAACACCTTTTTATTACCTGTAACTCCCAAGTCATTCACCAGACTTTCATTGTGTGGAGTTATGCTTCAGGAATTTAGGACTCAAATTCACATTCGTGCAATACACCATGAGATTACAAAATTCTAATGTCTTTGAGGTTTTCTATTTTTAATTATTATTAAAACACTACCAATGACAGAATTGGGACTCTCCCTCTCTTCTAGCCAGAGGTTATCAACTTGGTGAATAGTCTCCCAGAATGTTTTTTCTATACATATATTACCAGATATATAATATTCTCACAAATAATAATATATATACACTGGCATTTCTTCATTTAAGACATTATCTGGCTCCCCATTATGGAAGATAAGGAATTCCCTCCTCCTGACTCCATTTTGGTACTTGCTTTGTATTTTTGCTTCTTCTATTTGTACTTTAAAATTTTTTTGAGCTAGTGTTTGCTCTTCCATCAGCACATAACTCATGATGCCCTCCACATTAGATGAAGATATCAATACCTTACCTTCTCTTATAGTTGTCCTCTATACTCCCACCTCCATATTTATCAGCTGAACCCTGACAATGTCAAGGATGACAACATTCACATTCTCTTCTGCAAGCAGAGTTGACTTCCCTGTTTTGTCTGCTGGTTCCATGAGTTGATTGTTGCAGGATCAAAATTAAAATCACACCACATTTTGGTTTGCTTCCTGTTTGGTCATGAGTTTCTTACATAATTTTTTACCTGTTATTTCTAGTTGCCTCACTTTCTTCTTATTGATGGAAGAGATTTATGTTTTCTTCATCAAGTCATTAACATAATCTGGCTTCTTAGTCATTCTGTTACTTTGGTCTATTTCATTTCTCTCATTGAAAACATTCTATCTGGAGCTGCCTTTCTGTTCTAATAAGGAGCAAACAGCTTTCCAGCTTCACTGTACAACTGTTATCCTGGGATTGCATTTCAATGGACTTCTGAGTTGATTCCACTATTTCTTGTATATTATGTTTTTCTTTTTGGTGATGATGGGGGGTGTGGGTAAGATTGTTTCCACCCTTTTTTGATGGTGTACATTCTCAAGTAGCTTACTTAGAATGTATTTGAAAGGTAACCCTCCTGAGTTTATATCTGAAAATACCATTGTACTTTATATGACTATAGAATTCTCAGTTGTAATTTTCCCTCAGAACTTTCAAGGCTTTGGGGTGCCAGGGTGGCTCAATCAGTTAAGCATTTGCCTTTGGCTCAGGTCATGATCCCAGGGTTCTGGGATCGAGCCCCACATTGGGGTCCCTGCTTAGCAGGGATCCTGCTTCTCCCAGCTCTTGCTCTCTCAAATAAATAAAATCGTAAAAAAAAAAAAAAAAAACTTTCTGGGTTTTGTCCCATTATAGTCTACCATTCAGTGCCCCCAGAGAGAAATCTGATGTTAATCTCATTCTTTTGTACATAACATTGTTTCTCTCTGGAAATTTTTTGGATCTTCTATTTATTCTTGGTCATCTGAAATTTTACAACATTGAATGTAGATATTCATCTTTTTCTATTTATTCAGCTTTGCATTCCAAGTGAGTCTTCAACTTAGAGATTCCTTCAACCTAGAGATTCCTTCAATTCTGATAAATTTTCTTTTATGATTTCTTTGATAATATCTTTCCCTGTGTTTTCTCAATTTTTTGCTTTTTTTTTTTTTTTTGGAACTCCAGTTATTCAGATGGGGGGCCTCCCAAATTGATCCTCTCTCATTTTTCTCCCAACTTTTTCATCTCTGTTCCTTTCTATAGTCTGAAATCTTTTCTTCTGTTTATCTTCAAACCCTTCCCTTGAATTTTGTCCTGATATTTATTTAATCTCTGAGATGGTTCCTGTTTCATAGCATCTTCTTTTTTAATGCCTGCAGTCCCTATCTTCTCAAATCTGTTGAAAATATAGAGAGTAATTTCCCTAGTTTCTCTGAGTTATGTCTGTTTCTCCTGGGGACAGTTGTTTCATTCACCTTGGCCTTTCTCTTTTATCAGGTTGGTTTTCTTCTTGTGCCTGATCATGCATACTTAAGAATGGGAGCCTAGGTTATTTTTTCTGGACAAATGGTTCAGATTTCTTATATATACACATCTATGTGTTCCCATTAGGATTCTCCCATGAATAGATTAGCTAACTGGGTGCCCTACAGAGTGATAAAAGATTTAACTAGGTGGGTGAGAAAAAATGCATTCTGATTCTTGACCTTTTGTACATGACTTCTTTTTACTCTCTGGAAATTTGTAAGATCTTTTCTTTTCCCAGAGTTTTGAAATTTTACAATGATGTGCTTTGGCAAAGGTTAATTTTAATCCATTTTTCTGGGCTACTCACTGGAACCTTTAAATTCGGAAATGTCTACTTCTGCTTTGGAAAATACTCGAATTATTTCTCTGATAATTTTCTATCCTTTTTTTTTTTTTTTTTCATTCTCTACTTCTGGAATGCCTCTATTCAGATTTTGGATCTCCTAGACTTCCAGATTTATATAACCTCATCTTTTCTATATTTTTATCTTTGTCATCTTGCTCTACTGTATGGGAGATTTCCTCAACTTCATCATCCAACCCTGTTGAATTGTTCATTTCTACTATCATTTTTAATTTCCAAAAGTCCTTTTTGATCTTGGACTTTTAAAAATAGCATCTTATTTTTGCTTCATGGAAGCAATATCTTATCTCTTGAGTATGCTAGTATTGTTTTTTGTTTAATTCTCTTTCCTTTGCTTGGCTTTTCTTTCAAATCCCCTACTAGCACTATTTGTTTTTGTCTCTATTATGTCAGAAGTCTTCCTCAAATGTCTGGTGGTTCTTAATCTATTTATTTAAGTGAGGTACTAAAAAGCTGATCAGAAGTGGGCACCTTGGGGTAATCTAGATGGGTTGTTTCCTTGTGGAACTCACAATTTCAGTGTCTTTAGGTCTTTCCTCTTGGGAAGGTCATATTTCCCACAGAAAGATCTTCTAGGCTCCTGTGTAGAAGATATACACCTGTCTGGTAGCATTCCATTTACCCAGTACGGTGTGAGGTAAGTGGGGGCTCACCATTCCCAAGCAATTTACTTAATCCCCCCTCAGCATGAATCTGCTTTTAACCTTGCCCAGTGTATTCTAGTACAGAGACTTTTTTACCCAATTGAGGAAACAAACTTCCAGTTTACTATCAGGGGAGGGAAGGGTCAGATAATCAGCTTTGTGGAGTAAAAGGATATAATGGCTTTAAAAAATTTTTTTTTAATTATTGGAAATTCCTATGTTCACAGGAAAAAAAATCCAGAAAGGTGTAATACCCGCTCCCCATGGTCCCATCACCAGATCCACCAGCCATTATCACAGTGCAGGTTCTACCCTATGTATCTCTCCCTCTTCCACTTCCCTTATCCCATATTACTTTGAAACAAATTTCAAACATCATTCCATCTGAAATCATCCAGTACATACTGCTGAAAGGACTTTTTAATGAACATAACCTTAACATGATTATTCAACCTTAAAAAATTAACTTCTTTAATATCAAACCTCCATACAATGTTCAAACTTCTAGTTGTCTCATAAATGTCATGTGTTTTATTTATTTTACATTTGTTTGTTACAATCAGGATAGAACTAATAATCCACACATTCTGGCTGGTTAAGTCTCTAAGTTTCCCTCATGTGCAATTTTTTTCACAGAATTTATTCAATGAGGAAACAGAATAGTCTTGCAGAGTTTCTTAGGGTTTGGATTTTGCTGATTGCATCTCTGAGGTGTAGTTTAACATTTTCTCTGTCTTCTGTATTTCCTGTAGGTTGGTAGTTGGATCTAGAGGTTTAATTGCTTCTATTGGTCTATCTTCAAGTTCATTAATTCTTTCCTGTCTGCTCCATTCTGCTGTTGAGCCCATCTAGTATTAATTTCCATTATTATATTTTTTAGTTTTAAAATTTCCATTTGGTTCTTCAACTCTTCTTTTTCTTTGCTGACCCTAGGCTCTCATCTGAATGATGTCTTTTAAAATGTGAACACATGGTAGAGTGGCAGAGCGGGGTAGTCAGCCTCCAAGGTGGCTCCCAATGATCCCTGTTTCCTAGTCTTCATATTCTTGTGTAGCCCCTCCCACATTCTATCAGGGTTAGTCTGTGTAACTAATAGCATATGGTGGATATGATAGTATATTAACTTCTGAGATTAGATTATAAAGGACTGTGGCTTCTGTCTTTAGCACTCTTTCTTTCCCATGTACACACTCTTAGATCATTTGCTCTGAGAGAAGCTAGCCCTCCTATAGTCAGGAGATTCAGGTAGTCTATGGAGAGACCCATGTGATGGAGAACTGAAGTCTCCAGCCAACAGCCATAGACAAACTGAAACCTACCACCTACCATGTAAGTGAATTTTGAGGCACATCTTCCCCCAGTTAAGCCTTCAGATGAAAATGCAGTTCTAGCAGAAGCTTGAATGTAATCTCATAAGACTTTGAACCAGACCCACCAGCCAAGCGGTCTCCAGATCCTTGACCCACAAAAAATGTGTGCATTAATAGGGTTTTTTTTTAAGCTGTTAAGTTTTAGGGAAATTTGTTATATAGCAGGTAATACATCAGGGTTTGTACCTGAGTCTCTGCTCTACCACTTACTAAAAGATGCAGGACATATTGAGTAACCTTCTACGCTCCACTTTCTTTCATTGGAGACTGATGACCATTTTTGCCACACTTAACTTTTCAAGGTTATGAGTTGCACATAATATATGAAAACATTATACAACTAGTAATTTACCAAACACAACCTCCCTATTTTGCAGGTAAAAACTGAAAGCCCAAAGAAATGAGAATTGACAGATGAAGCATTAAGGAACAGAGAAATTATAGGACTTGTCCAGGCTTCAACTATTTAGAAAAAGAGCCGGGACCAGAACCCACAACCCACAACTCCACGTCTGGTTATTTTTGCTACTATGCCTAAAATATCATGTGCTATTATCATTAAACATGGTCACTCCATGTTTCAGGAAAACAGAGAGCAGGTAAATTATGGATTGTAGGGTAGACGGGAGAATTGCATTTCTTCCATGGTACATGACAAACTTGGGGTAAATGCAAGAGAGTCAGTTGTTCCAATTCAGCCTTTACATCATAAAGCTGACCTAGGGACAGTTACTCCTTCCTTCTTTCTGTTGCTCTGTCAGTCATCCCAACACACTGCATCCAAGCACATGGGCACCCAGCCAGAAGGTGACCAACACCACCTCTTTGCACCTAAGCCATGGGGGGGAAAGGTGGCATTTTAAAATGTGGAAAAAGATAAAAGAAAAAAAAGGTATATGTGGACTCAAACTGGAAGGGAAAACACAAACATAAAAACAGTTGTGTTGATGGGAACACCTGGCTGGCTCAGTCTGTAGGACATGTGACTCTTGATCTCAGGGTCATGAGTTCAAACTCCACATTGGGCATTGAGATTACTTAAAAATAATCAATCCAGAATAGTTGTGTTGAAGTGGTAGGATCATTTTTTTTCCATTCTTAGTTTTGTTTTTAATTTTAAAAAACATTTATATAGAATATATAATAATTATATATACTATATAGCAATATATACAATTTGTTATATATGTTACTTGTGTTTTTAAAGTTCAAACTTGATACAATGTCTATCTTGACAAAATGGGATTTAATAGATCTTTTGGATTTAAATAACTAGTTACAGTTTACTTTTTCCACCCCATGTGTGTCAGTTAAGATTCTTCAGTTGCAAGCAACAGAAACTAATTCTGGCTACTTAAAAAAGAGAATCTGTTGTAAGAATATGGGAGAGCAGGGGCACCTGGGTGGCTCAGTCAGTTGAGTGACCAGCTTTGGATTTTCATTCGTGTTGTGATCTCAGGGTCATGGGATTGAGCCCTACATCAGGCTCTGCTGAGTGCAGAGTCTGCTTGTCCCTCTGCCTCTGCTCCTCCTGCTGCACTCATGCTCGTGCTCTCTAATAAGTAAGTGGATAAATAAAATATTTTAAAAAATGAGTATGGGGGAGCAGACAGGACCAAAGGGAAGCCTTGGAGAAGCAAAGGCAGGTAACCTTCTCAGGTCTACTCCACTGAGTGTAAGGTCCTGTTGCTGGAGTAAATGAACACTTGCCAATTATTTGTTTCTTCTGCACTCAGTCCCTGGGTCTAAGATGCAAAGTCCTTGTTGAGTGGGATTCTGCTTGGTCAGGGATGTACCAAGCTAGGATGTCCTGAGCTGATGAATGAAAGAGGGAGTTGAAAAGGATTTCCATGTGGAGAGCAAAACACTGAGGATCCCATCCCACCAACACAGCTCTCAGCAGCGAGCATGGTCACTCCAGAAGTTGATGAGGATACTTATTGTAATATCTAGTGTCCACTAAATCGCAGATTTGTTCTCACCACTCAATGAGATGTTTGTGAGAACGTGAATGGTCTTCCAGCAGTATTTTAGATGGACTCCCACACAGTTTTCCTCCTCACTTGTCAAGGACCAGCGAAGACCTGCTTTGGGCATGACCTTTTGGTGTGATGCTTTAGAGCCCAGTAGAACTTGATCCACCTCTACACTCAAATTAATACAAATCAAGTCCAGTCCTCCTTAAAGTGTATCCCACATCCATCACAACGCTGCCTAGTATCGTGTTCCTAGGTCCTTCCCATCCTACTCTCACTCTCCTTTTAACTATCGTCCACACAGCTTTCCCTGAAGAATGTTCTCTATTAACAGGCATTCCATGACAATGAAAAGGGAAGGGGAAAGAACTGTAAGAATTGCTGGTTAAACCAAGTCTACAAGTCAAAATTTGTCTAGATAGCTATAGACCATTCTACTCTGTTCTCAGGGTCTTCAAGATACTTAAAGGTAACCACTAAACCATACATTCTTAGGAGATGACTTCCACAGGACTTCAAGACATAAGCAGCTTAACGGCATTTTTGATAGATGGAGGTGAAGGTGTCGAAAATTTTATTAACATTTAGTTTAAAAAGCTTTACACCTGTGCCATGCCAAGACATAGAAGGTTCTTAAAGAAGTTACCCATTAGGGTTTGCTCCTTGGTTTAGGAGTCGTGGGGCCTTGGTATTGCTTTGTTAAGCGGTTTAAGAATTCATGATCTTGGTCCAGGGCTGGTAATACTGTGCCACTTTCTTCTCCCTTCAGGGAAGAAGAGACACTATTTTACCTGGAGGCTCTCAGCACATTATTGCCGCACAGCTGACTCCTTAACATCTTCTGTGGATTAGCAATTTGCTCTAAAATCAGCCTCAAGTCTCCCCCAGAGAAGAGGAGCACGGAAATATTTCTCAGGCTGGATCTTAAATGCAGTTTGTGTGTGTGGTAAAACATACATACCATAAAATTTGCCATTTTTAACCATTTGCTCAGAGGCATTATGTTCACATTTCTGTGCAACCACTACCATCCATCTGTAGAACTTTGTCATTTCAAACTGAAGCTCTGTACCTACTAAACATTAGCTCCCTATTTCCTTCTCTCCCCCAGCTCCTGGCACTCACCATTCTACTGCATGTCTGAATTTGACTCTTCTAGGTCCCTGATGTAAGTGAAAGCACACAGTATTTGTGTTCTTATGTCTAGCTTATTTTTAAGTGCAGTTTTGATGCACAGAACAGTGCCCTTACGGTGAGTAAGGACACAGCATATGTAGCTGTTACTTCCAAATCAGAAGTCTTTAGCCTGGAGCCCTTGGATGAGTCCTAGAGCTCTGAACCTCCTTTAAGAGATGGGTTTCCTAAATTACAAGGTGTTCGTAGGAGCCTTAACCCAGAAGATGCTGATTGCTGTTCTGGGTCCTCTCTGCTTTGAGAGCATCCTCTTGGTCCCAAACCAGTATTGGCTACCCTCAGGTAGCAAGACACCACCAACCTGGTCATATTTATTGTACGGCTCTGCATTTTGCTGATTCAAGTTTGATGCCTAATGGGGTGTCACTCACTCTATAAACCCCTAGCCTCCTGGCCACTTAAGAACTTTGAGCTCACCTTCTTCCTATGAAAAATACCTAATGCAAATGCCACACAAAACCACAATGAGATACCACTTCACACCCATTAGCATGGCTGTGATCAAAAAAACAGACAAGTATTGGCAAGGATGTTGAAAAATGGGAACCCTCATGCATTGCTGGTGAGAATGTAAAATGGCGCATTCACTATGGATAACAGTATAGTGGTTCCTCAAAAATTAAAAATAGAACTACTGTATGACCCAACAATTCCACTTCTGTATATACACTCAGAAGAACCGAAAGCAGGAATTTGAACAGATATTTGTACTTCCATTTTCATAGCAACATTATTCACAAGAGTCAAAAGAACAGTCCAAGTGAATATCTATGATTAATGGATAAACAAAACATCTATCCACACAGTGGAATATTACTCAACCTAAAATATAAAGGAAATTCTGGCACCTGCTGCAACATGGATGAACCTTGTGGGCATTATGCTGAGTAAAATGAACCAGTCATAAAAGAAAAAATACTGTAGGATTCTACTTATATGAGGTACTTAGAGTAGTCAAATTCACAGAGATGAAAAGCTAAATGGTGGTTGCCAGGGTTGGGGGCGGTGTAGGGAAGAAGGATGGGGAGTTAATGTTTAATGGGGACAGAGCTTCATTTTGCAAAGATGGGAAAGTTCTAGAGAGGATGCTGGTGATGGCTACATAGCAATGTGAAGGTACTTGAGGACCCTGAGCTGTACACTCAAAAGTGGTTAAAACGGTAAACTTTTATGTTACACATTATAATAAAAAATGGTTTAAAGAAGTGTCTAATGCTGTCTGATCACTATTCCCTGCTCCCACAGAGAAGTTAAAAGCCCTGTGTACAGTTTATCCCAAACCCCATCTTCTGGGAAGAGACAAAATGTGTTAAGTACCAAAATGTTGGGGCGCCTGGGTGGCTCAGTCATTAAGCATCTGCCTTCAGCTCAGGTCATGATCCCAGGGTCCTGGGATCGAGCCCTGCATCGAAGCCTGCTTCTCCCTCTCCCGCTCCCCCTGCTTGTGTTCCCTCTCTCGCTGTGTCTCTCTGTCAAATAAATAAATAAAATCTTTAAAAAAAAAAAAAGTACCAAAATGTTTTTCAAAAGCTGGGCCTGCCTTAGTTGTTTGTGTTTCTTGGTAAAAAAAAAAAAAGAAAAGAAAAGAAAAAAGAAAATAATAATCACTTCAGCATCATATCCTGTCCATCCATCCATCCATCTGTCCATCCCCATCAAAAGAAGTCGGGGGGGGGGGGGGACAAAAAAAACAAAAAAATTCTAAACCAGAGGTAGCAGGACAAGCTTTTATGGGACTAGAATGGTCTCCAGGAGCCAGGAAGCTGCCACTCAAAGGCGGCCCAGTCAGCATGGATGGGGGAGAAACTCAGAGCTAAGTCATAGAGAGAAGCCCAGCTCACAGGAGAAGCATGGGCACCTGCCCAATGATCACCTGCTAAGGTAGCACACCAGGAGGTGTGGGCACTCCTTTCCACTCTGAAGTCACTTACCTCAGAAAAATGGTTCTCGATAATGTTCAAAGCAGTCAGGGCAACCTGAGGGTTCTCATGAAGTTGCAAAGCCTCAATTTTATCAATGCCACCCATTTCCTCTATCAGAAGACACAGGTTTTCCTTCTCTGAAAGCTTCTCTGCTGCCTGTGGGCATAAAGGAAAAGCAAGACTCTGGGCAAAAGCCCTTCGGAGGTAGAGCTTCACCACCGTGGAGTCAGACCAAAGGCTCCTGTTCCAGAATGGCAGCCACAGTTCTTCCCTCATTAAGACTGCAGGATCAGGGACACCTGGGTGGCTCAGTCAGTTAAAGGTCCAACTCTGGATTTTAGCTCAGGTCATGATCTCAGGGTTGTGAGATCGAGCCCGTGTTGGGCTCCATGCTGGGCATGGAGCCTGCTTGAGATTCTTTCTCTCCCTCTCCCCACCCCCTCTTCTCGCTCTCCTCTTAAAAAAAAAAAAAAAAAAAAAAAAAAAAAAGATTTCAGGATCTTCCTCCCCTTTTAGATATTTATAGTACATATATTTAGGTTTATATCAATTGCACAAAATACAATTTTTGCCAAGTATGCTGCCCTCCATAAATACATTGCTATTACTGTTTAATAGTTACCTCCCTTATAATTAATGGAAATTGTTTAAAATACAGTTTGAAAGAATGTTCAAGTAATGCTATTTAAATGCAGGTGTTCTGGCCCTGCCCTCACTGGAAAAGCCTTAAGAGGTAAGACTAAGGGGACCCTTAGTAACACCACGGCAAATAACCAGGTCCCTGGAAACAAGTAACATGAGTGGATTTAATCCAATGCGGATCGTTGGATTTATCATCTAGGGCTATTCCTTCACTCAAACCTTTGTACATATACCGTGGCAAGGCCTACAAAACTAGAGATCAAGATAGGATTTAGAAAAGGCCTTTTTGTAACTCACGTTCTTAGGGCAGACAGGTAAATAATTTAAGAAAGCAGAATATAGATGATCGGTGGTTTAAGTTATAGAAGATGTGCATAAAAGACTTGGAAACTAGCACATGTTCTTGATGAACAATGCTGTGCCAGGGTCAACCATAGGATAATCATGGCATTCCCAAAACAAGGAGGGGCAAGGACAAAGATGTGAAGGAATACATGTTGCATATTAGGAGAAGAGGGAGTAATTCAGCTAAACAGTCTATCTGGGGGAAGTGAAGAGAAATAAAGAAAAGGCTTTGGTGTCAACTCCTGAAGGGCTCTGCTCTCTATTTCGTGAGCAGTAATAAGAAAACCTCCTGTGGTTCAAATTAAGCATGATTTAGGCCACACTGTCTACCTGATCAGAGTGTGCACTGTGTGTCTAAACCCTGACACACTCTAGTCCTATCCGCAAGTCCAAAATGAGTTTTTTGGCTTTGAGCAAAGAAACCGAGGCAGGACCAATGTGCTAGGTTAGCCTCAGAAAGAACACTGGGGAGTGTGGGATGACCAAGGGCAGTCAGAGCTCTGGAGAAGGATTCTGGATGTCGACACCACAGCAAATGGCTCCAAAGTCACTTCAAAGAACTTCAGCTACACTCTGCTGCCCATTTGAGGCTCTCTCCTGCCTCGTCCTCCTAACCTGCTATTCCAGTGCTTCTCTCTGGTCTATCAGATGTGGTTTTCCCAGACTCCCCCCAAGGAAAAAAAAAATCCCAAATGTTTAGTTCAAATGAAACAGATGAAGTTAAATTTCTAATGCCCACAAGTGTACTTTCACAGAAGTGTTATGTCATTTTATGCAACCTTGTCTACGGGTGGCCAAGTCTGTATTCTTCATCTGTGTGATTTGCTCAATCTTAGTGTCTAATTGGGTGCTCTTTCAGATCTGTTCCTGACTCAGGTCAGTTCTTTCCAAGACCGTTACATGAAAAGGATGCTTAAAGTGAGCTTTTAAAAGGAGTCCCCTGGTGTTACTTTGAAATTTTTCAAACAGCTTAGTTGCATATAAAAGGACCTGAACCAAATGAATATAGCCAGCCTTCAAGATGGCCTCAGATGATCCCTACCTCCTGGTATTCAACACCCTTGTATAGTTTCCTCCCATTTTGAGTGGGGTTGATCTGTGTAACCAATTGAATGTTGTTGAAATGACTTCCAAGGGTAGATTATAAAAGCCATCGGGGCTCCCATCTTGCTTTCCTAGATCACTTGTTCCAGAGGAAGCCAGTCGCCATGATGTGAAGACACACATATGGTCCTATGAAGAGGTCCATGTAGTGAGAATAACTTTCCAGGCATGTGAGTGAGCCTTCTTGGAAGCTGATCCTCCAACCTCCATCAAGCCTTCAGATGAGACCAGCCCCAGTTGACACCTCAAACCTCCCAAGAAACCCTGAGCCAGAACCATCCAGCTGAGCTGCCCCCAGATTCCTAACCCCAGAAACTAGGTGACATAATAAATGTTTGTTCTAGACCACTAGGCAGTAACCAATTATGCAGCAATACAGAACTGACACAAATGGTTTATGAACACTGGCTTTCTTCCAGAAATAAGGCTTTCTAGATCTCTAATTCAAGTCTCTGGAGTCAGTTTCAAGATCTATTCCTGCTGCTGCTCTTTCGAGTGTATCCTATGTTTTAGCCTTCTAGAAGAGCCAGCCATGTGGTTCATGGACTCTTTCCCCTGCTTTGAACCTTTGATTGGTTTCTCCATCTCACTCAGAGTTAGCTGAAGTTCTCCCACACCTCATGTGATCTGGATGCTCTGAGCCTGACTACCACCTTCTATCCATTTGCTCCCGCTCATCCTGAGTGCTCTTCCCCAGATATCCACAAGACTCATTCACTTCACTCCTCTCAGGGCTTTGCATAAATGTTCTTCCTGAGACAAGTTTCTCCTGATGACTACAAACAAGGGATCACCATGCTCTCCCCACTCTGAGCCATCAGTGACGGTCCTTTTAGCAGATAAACTCTCAGCTGTTGTGTCTGTTTCCCTCTCCATTAATACGTAAGTTCAATCAGAGCAAGGACGTTGTTCTGTTGTATCCTGAGCATCTGAAACAATGCTGGGCACACAGTCACTCGTTTGAAAAATGAAGAGGGACCTTCTTTGAAAGTCCTCTTGTTTTTGTTACCCATAGGATACCAGGAGGAGGGGTGAAGGAGTGGAAAGAGAATCCACATGTGAGTTTTAAGAACCAAATTAAATGCCTCAAATTTGGAGACTGCTATTTAAAAACCAACCTGCTTAGAACAGCTCACCTGGAGGATAAAAGAGATAACATCAAGGATGATGATAACAATTTTGGTGTCTTGGATGGTAAGCAGATTCACCAGTGGCTCCAGGACGCCAGAGTGGACAAGCTGGATCAACTGGTCTATGGTGCCTCCAGTTGTGAAGTTAGCCACGGTCCAAACGGCCTCTTTCTGGACTTTAAATTCTCCCTGCAGAAAGAGAACATATACATTCTTTATAGATCCTGAGGAACTTAAATACAGTGATGCTTAGTTCAATTTCTTTTTTTTTTTTTTTAAGATTTTATTTATTTATTAATTTGACAGAGAGAGACACAGTGAGAGAAGGAACACAATCAGGGGGAGGGGAAGAGGGAGAAGTAGGCTTCCCACTGAGTAGGGAGCCCGATGTGGGACTCGATCCCAGGACCCTGGGATCATGACCTGAGCCGAAGGCAGACGCTTAACGACTGAGCCACCCAGGTGCCCCTTAGTTCAATTCCTAGGTAGGCTAGGGACAGCCAGGATGGTCTGTGCAATTTACATGGAACACCTTGGCATCCTGCTTCTAGTTCTTGAGCAGAAGACAGCATCTTTGAGAAGCCCAGACGTAGGCAGACAGACTTCTGTGGGGCCTTAGAGGGAGGTTTTAAGTTTGAAGTAGACTCATTTCCTTAGGTCAGGTTATGGGGAAAATAGGCATTATGCTTGGAATTTTAGGTTATAGTGACCTAGGTCAACATTTCTGGTCTTTCTGTCACAGGAAAACTATGGGCAAGAAGCTCCCCACTACAAAGCTGAGCACACAGAAGTGATCTCAGGGACTGAGCCAGCCCGGAGGTGACGGAGGAAGGCCACTGAAACCTCACTCAATGTATCCCTTGCATTTATAAGAAACACTTCGCCCAGAGATATGGGAGTCATTTATTGTAGATCCTTCTATCCCCGGGCAGAAGGAATTATTCCCATTTTATGGCTGGGGAAGAACTGTGACCTCAACTTAAAAAAAAAACAAAAACATACCGAGAACCAAAACAACATATGGGTCCAAGCCAGTTGTAGTTCAAAAGGCAGCTTGAAATAAGATTACTCCTTGACTCGAGACTGGACGTTCTGCTTAGAATATGTACAGACTCATGGACGCACACAGGATAGGAAGTGTCTGATGGATTGGGTTGAACCTTGATTTGGGTGGCACACCTGGGAACCCACCATCTAACCTGAGGGCAGGCACCCCACCAGCAGCTTCTTTTTCCCATCCTACTCCATTTGCCTCCCCGCCCCCAGGAAGACTGCCCCACTCCTGGCTTGTGTCACATGTAAATGATTTAAACAGAGCTCATCCATTCAAAGGTGACAAAAAGAAACGCCGACAGATAGTAGTTGTCCCAGGCAAGGGAAGTGGGAATCAGGAGGAAGAAGGAAGCTTTATTGTATTTCCACTTTTACATCTGGATTTTCAGTGTATATTACCACTCTAATTGATGTGATTTTTACACTGAAAAGGCCACTTTCTTCAGTGTATAATATCACCATAACCTGATAGGTTTTTCCTCCTAAAACAAAACAAACCCCTCCCCCTTTTAGCACGTAGAGTGGATGGTACATTCTTTTAACACTAAAGATAAGCCAGTATTTACCAGCTCAATATTTTTGCTGAATATTGGAGCTGTGGGGGATCACCTTTTCACTGAACAATGCCTGTTAAGTCTCCCAAATCTTTAACGGTTTGTCCCAAACGGGATGCCTCTTCCTGTTTCCAGGGCGAGTGAGGAAACCACGGTTTCACAGCTCTGTTGTGATCTCAATTTGCTTCTTAGCCTGTTTCTGAATTACTGAAGGAGTTCAACACAGGGCCAATCGGAAAATAGCCTCTTGTCACGGACACGGAGCGCACCACTTACGTTTTTCAGCAGAGCCACCAAAGGAGGCAGCATGCCGCAAGCTATCAGCCGCTGGATGTGCTGGCGAGGCCCTGCAGCCACGTTGCTCAAGGCCCAAGCTGCTTCCTTCTGGATGGAGGACCTGGGGTGCATCAGGAGCTGGGGCAACACGTGCAGCATGCCCGCGTCGATGGCCACCTGGGTCTGGTGATCCGTTCCCGTGACGATGTTCCCCACGGTGCGGAGGGAGGGGGTCTGGAAGAGCAAGGCTATACATGTAACCAAGCATTGCAAACTTACCGTAACAGAAGGGAACCATCACCAAGCTCTGCACATTCCCCCATGTTCGTCACGCTATGTTGATGGCGCTCAGGAAACCCGTGAATAACGACTAAATCCATGATCCCTATTAATTCAGCACATCCATGGCCATTTGCATAGTTTAAAGGTACTTGCTAGCCTCTCAATAGTTCCGGCTCACGTAAGATAGAGGTCCAGGGATGCCTTTATTAAGAAATAATGCTGTCCTTTTTGTATCCTTACACTGGGAATATCCCTAAGTTGATTATAGGGTTTATAATGTAATAACTTCTACTGAATTTGTATTTAGCAAGTTTCTGTTGTATATTTAATTGGAGCTAATGAGAGCCCAACGGCATTTTTTGTTGTTGTTGTATTCACAAACTCCCTCTCTACTCTGAAGGTCCCCAGGATGGATCTGCAATTGGGCTCAAGACAACCATCCTCTGAGGGCTGACTGTGCATTTATTTTGGTTTCTCTGCACCGCAGTGACCACCCCCACACAGACCATCGACAGTTCGAGAGTTTTCCTAGCCTTTTATGCTGGGTTTATTTGCTACTCAAGCGAGAGGTGAAACAGTGCTGTAGGCCCATCACAGCCTTGGCAGGACGACTCCAAATGGGCCCTAGACCCCTCAGGACAAGCAGCTTCTTATATTCTTCTTGTACCCTCCCTCTCCCCAATACTATCCCCAAACTAACCTTGACGTCTGAGGAATACTATGCTAATCTAGGCATAGATGATCACTAAGGTTGCATAAATATACAACATTAGCCACAGAAATCAAAAGGGCCGCCCACGTTTCAAGGCATATCTTCAAGAAGCGTATTATGTAAGGGACACGTTTCATATCATAGCAAAGTATTTGATGTTTTGTTTTGTTTTGTTTTCATTTTACCTATGCTGAAGTGGTCTAATAACAAACTGGGGAGAGGATAAGAGGGATTTTTTTTATCCTTGAGTAAGAAATTCAAATGTTACAACAAGCTTTATGTTTATACACAAATGTGCGCGCGCGCACACACACACTGTATTAGCCAACTTGTTAACATCCACATGCACAGACCCCTAGAAGGAAAGGCCACAAAAGAATAGTTTACTGAGTGGAGGGATTATTTTAATTTGGTGCTTGTCTAGTTTTTCTAGTTATCAGATTAAGACAAGTGAGTTATTTAACATCCACTAGGACTTCAGATCAAAATAGATTCAAGTCTTTAGCTAGAGAGTAGCAGAGACCAGGGAAATGTAGATGACAAGCTTTGTTCTAGATAAAGTATGAGACCCAACTGTGGAAGACCGGGACTGGGAGAGGTCTTGTTCAAGGAAGTATGACTCACACATTCTCGTCTGAAGGCCCAGACAGAGACAGACAGGACCAGGGACGTTTACCAAGACATTGAGCTCCGAGCTGCTCATGAGCTGGACCAGCCTGGGCAGGACCCCTGTGTTGACCACTTGGCCGATGCGCTCATTGGAGCCATCAGTGAGGTAGGACAGGGCCCAGCAGGTGTCCGAGAGAACCTCGCTGTCTTGGTGCTGCAGGAGGTGGGATAGGACGGGCAACATCTGCTTCACGGCTTTCACAGAAGGGTAAGGGTTCTTGTTTCGGCACAAGTTGGACAAGGTCCACGTGATGTTCCGCAGAAACGTGATCTGTAATGAGACTGCTTCCAGCAACGGGTGCAAAGGAGGAAAAATGCCAATGGCCTGTGTCTTTGCCATCCCTGATCAATATTATTAACCAGCATGAAGCAAAGCGTTTGAGCTTCATGCAGAATCTGTTCTCGATAGTGATGCATACTAGGCAGACCAAATGTTAGGTGGAGGTTTCCTTGTATTCTTCAAAAATCCACCCCCGCCCCTTGACTCAGCTGATGACCAATTCATTTTTCACTGACAAAACAAATGTCAAGCAGGAGTTACTTGGTCTGCCCACCAGCCAGTCACCCTACCAACATGTGGTAACCACATTCCTGATCTTTGTTGCAGGGTCAGTCCTCCTACCCCGCATCTGGACCCCATTTTTGCCTTTGAAGATTCTATCCCCACGATCACCTCTCCCCCCGATCCCTCCCACACTCTGGGACCCTCCACCTCTCTAGCCATCATCCTGCTTCTATTTTTCCAGAGTCCACCCTCAAGGATGCATCTCTATTCACTGTCTACCTTGCAGCTTTGCATTTGTTCTTCCACTCCTTCTAGTCTGATTTCTGCCCCTACTTCTTTGCATTGAGTGATGAAATCGGCTTCTTCCAAGCCACCAAATCCAACAGCTGCCTTTTCAGTCCTAAAGTTACTGCCCCTCTTGGCAGTCTTTAGTACCCCCCTTGGAAAAGCTCTTCTTGGCACCTATGACACCAAACCTGCATTTCTCTTGCCAAACGGGCTGTTTCTTCTCAGTCTTTTGGGCAGACTCTGCCTGAGTTCTGATTGTCAGAGCCCTCGAGACTTGGTCCCAGGCTCTACTCTAGGTCAGGGGTTGGCAGACTTTTTCTGCAGAAGGCCAGAGAATAAACACGTCCAGCTTTATGGGCCATAGGGTCTCTGTTGCAACTAGTCCTCTCTGCCCTTGTAACATTACAAAAGCCACAGACAGCATGGGTATAAAGAAATGGTGATGGCTGTGCTCCAGTAAAACTTTATTTACAAAAGCAAGCAGCTGGCCCCTGCTCTAGTTGATCCTGCCTAGCTGGATGACGAATGCACGCACAATCAATCATCTGGACTGCATTATCCATCCACCTGACGTTGCTGCAATGGTGCCTCTTACTTGCTTCAACTTAACATGTATAACCAGCGCTCAGATTCCTTCTTCCCTCCATCTTCCCCATTTCTCTAGGAGGACAGTCATCTAAACAACCTAACCGGAAACCAAGGGCATTCTTGCTTCTTCCACTCCCCCGTGTCCAGCATGGCAGCATCCCAGCTCGCTCCGCTCTCACTGTACAAGCAGCCAGAAGGGTCTTCCCAAAAGATCAGATCACTTCACCTCCTGCTTGCCTCTGCCAGCAGGTGGATGTCTAAGTCCTTCATCCTACTTGTCATCTCGCTCTGCTCTCTCCTTGCAAACTCCTCAATCATGCCAGCCTCTTACTGGTCCCACCATGTCAGGTCTTCTCCCACCTTGAGGGATGGGTATTCCCTGGGCTTTTTGAAGGGCTACCTTCCCTTCATTTTTGTTTGGGGCAAATATAGAACCAACATTTTCCCAAGGGGGTTCCCTGTTGTTGCCACATCAATCAACTTTGACTCTAAGCTTCGAACCTAGACCTGGTACCTAGGAACAGAACTGGTGACCCATTAACTGTCTGTGCCCCACCTACTTTTGCAGGATTGTAAGCTTAGAAAAACTTTAATGGACCTCTTCCAATGCCCCCTGAAGAAAAACTAGCACTGTTGCCCTTGGGGCCAAATGAGGATCCATCTCTGCCCAATGTGATATTCAGTCCTAGGCCTTGCTTATAATTGCTGTCCTAAGGGGCAAGGCAGCAACTGTATGACCTAGCATTAACTTGAACGTACTCCCCCAATTTCAGAAACTTGTTACCTAGCTAGTTCTTCTACTTTAAAAATACTTACTGGTACGGTTGATGAAACGAGGGCCACCAGATGTGGAATGGCATTGCTCGAGATAACGAGGTCTCTGAATTCTGGGCCATCACCTACAAATAGTTAAGAATGTGACATTCGGGGGACACCTGGGTGGCTCAGTCAGTTAAGTGTCTGCCTTCGGCTCAGGTCATGATCCCAGAGTCCTGGGATGGAGCCCCGCATCGGGCTCCCAGATCAGCAGGGAGTCTGCTTCTCCCTCTGCCCTTCACCCCACTCATGTTCTCTCGCTCGCTCCCTTTCTCTCAAATAAATAAAGTCTTTAAAAATTAAAAAAAAAAAAAAGAATGTGAGATTCGAACAGGGAGCAAAGAGAATCCTGGACTAAGTGACTAATTTTTTAAAACCCTGTGCAAGGGGTGAGAAGCCAAAACACATTCCTGGGCTGGACAAGTACATAGTATAGCCATGAACTAGATCCTGGGTCTCCATGATGTCAGTTGGGTAGATAGATCAAACATGAAAGGCAGACACCACATAGCAGAGACCATTATAAGCAATCTGTGGACACCTAAAGGAGCAGAGGCCATTATAAGCAATCTGTGGACACCTAAAGGAGCAGAGACCATTATAAGCAATCTGTGGACACCTAAAGGAGCTAGCCAATGGGCCCGGAAAGTGCCCTCAAGACTCGAGATGCTGGTGGCACTTCACAACACAGTTCTCGGGAAGATGAATTTGGCTATTGCAGGCCAAATGGTCTTTCCAGGAGACTCTGGCATGGGGTGGAAACTTCCAAATGCAACTCAGAATCTAGCCTGGGAGATGAGTCAATGCTAGCCACCTGCTATCTGCTTCTCAGGCGAAAATACCGATTTGAGACCTTAGCAGTCTACGTTTATAATTCTTCAACCATGAAGGCAAGGCGTAGGTTACTTTACACCACCCAATTTTGCCTGTTCCTTACTGAACCAAGCAAAATGAGAGACAAAGTCTATATAATAGGCGCTTCCTTTACTGGAAGCATTTAACAAGCAGACTTATTTTATATTCTGTGTTTGCTAATCCCAGTATCTGAAGTCCTTGGAGGCCTAATCATACTGTTTGTTTCTGCTGACTCAGTCATGGTGGGTTGTTGATTCTCTGAACTTGAAACTGCTAATATTTGGCTGATCTTACTTTGTCAAAATCCTGAGGGGCCCAATTGAGTTCATATCCCCCCAAGAGCATCGTATTTATATTCAGCCAGGAATCCTGGAGCTTCCAACCCTGCAGCATTAACTCCTCATTTATGCTTTCCTGGACCATGCAGGGAATACAGCATCAAGCCCCGAATTCACAAGGCCATTTTGGGACTGCGTTTACAGGGGAGACCTTTACCCCACACTGAGCACACACTTTTCTGGTATGTTCCCTTGGCGACTTTCACTGGAGGTAGAATTCTTTCAGGCTCCTGGGTGATGCAAGGGTCTGTCCTAAATACTGCACGAGTCAAAGACTTGTCTTTTGTTCCCAAAGCCATTAAGACCTGAGGCTGCAGGACCCTGGTATTGACAGATGTCACCAGGCAGCCTGTAGCTTCGGGACACACTGCATCATCTGGCCGCCACTTTCATTATTGGCCTCTGAAATTGACTCTGGATTTTGGAAAAGCCTGGCGTACTCTTCCCAGTGTTTCTAGATATTTATACTGAGAATATTGAATCTTTATCTACCCAAAGAACTCGCATAGCATGCCAGACACCTGACCCACTGGTTTCAGCGCCCCCGCCACCTCCACCCCAGGGGAGAGTCTCACCTGCTATATTACCAAGAGCCCACACTGCCTGTTCACACACAGTCATGTGGGGGGAAGACAGGAGCTCAACCAAAGGTGGGATGGCCCCACCTTCCACAACGGCTTGAGTCTGCTCTGAAGTCCCGGAAGCAATGTTGGTCAGAGCCCAAGCTGCCTCGAACTGCAAGCAGGGGTGAGGTGACAACTTCAGGAACTCCACCAGCCTGGGAATGAGCCCTGCTTCAACAATCAGTTTTAGAGGAGGGTTCCTTTCCTGGGACAGCATTTTCCTTTGCAATGAAAGAGGGAAAAAAATTATAAACACACACACACATACACAAGTCATGTGAAGCTGATATTAAGAACCTTCTTTATAAATGTTCTTGGCATTCCTAGCTATCAGATGAGACTAACATGTGGGCCAGAGCTACTTAATATCCTAAAATCCAGTCTATAGCACTTTGCAGTGACAAAGCAACATTTTTCCCTTTAGGTATTATCTATGAGTTGAGATTCCTATAGAGGCCAATTTAAATTAAGCAATTCATCTCTGACAACACTTGCATATCTTAAGTTGTTCTCAAGGATGATGTAGAGGAACGATTTAGTCTCACTTTTGAATGGACTTGCCTCTTATATTGTGTGGGCATTTTGCCATTGCTACAAAACCAAATAGGCCACTGGAGCTCATTTCTAGCTAGGAACCTATAAACCGCAGAAGTCTGTTTGGCGGTACCTGGCTTCCTGGGTGGCCTGGAAACATAGGTCTGGATCTGAGGCATTCACGCCATTGATTATTTCTTGCAGGGTGAGGCTGACCTGCAAAGAGAGACACATTTAAGTCAGAGTCTCTGCCCACAGGAACCATAAAGGTCATCTAGTCCAGCCATCTATCTGATTAGAACAGGCTGGCTTGGACAATATGTCCTAATCTGCACATTGGTCTACCTTAGGGGAGAGAAGAATACTTGGTGGTCTTATAGGTCTCATGAATCTGTGGGACACTCCCCATGCTCTGGGGAAGGGGTAATTCCTATCATCACTTGGATCCCCACCACCTTTTCAACCCCTGCAATAAGAACATGTTAGTGATGACCAGCAAAAATGGCAGAGTAAGGACCTCCAAAAATTCTCTCCTCCATAAAAACAAGAAAACCAACACAAGTAGATCAACCTTCCGAACTCTAGAAATTGACCAAAGGCTTGTAGCAATTTGTTTTCTTTGAGCCAAAAAGAGATTGTTCAGGAAAAACACCTAATCTCAGGAAGAAGAATTCTAGGAAACAAAATGCATCAATGTATGAACAGGATTATACATCATGACCAACTGGGATTTAATCCAGGAAGGCAAGGGCAGTTCAACATATGAACATCAGCATAGTAGGTCATATTAATAGGATATAGGGGGAAAAGGAGACAATCATCTCAGAAAATGCAAAATTCAGGCACACTTCCATGATAATAAACATTCAGCAATCTGGAAATAAAAGCCACCTTCCTCAACCTGATAAAGCCATCTAATAAAACCCCACACAGCTAGCACCATACTTAACAGTAAAAGATGGAAAGTTTCCCCCCTAAGGTCAGGAACAAGACAAGGACGTCCACTCTTGTTGCTTTTATTCAACATTGTATTGGAAGTTCTAGACAGACTAATTAGGTAAGAAGAAAAAAAAGTCATCCAGATTGGAAAAAGAAAGTTATTTCTATTTGCAAAATTCAATAACTTGTATATGGGAGATCCTAAGGAATCCCCCCCCACACACAAATAGAGGCTCAGCTAGGCTTCAGGATTAACATATGAAAATCACTTGTATTTCTATATACTAGCAATAAACAATCCAAAGTTGAAATTAAGAAAACAATTTTATTTTCGATGACATCAAAAAGAATAAAATACTTGGGAATAAATTTAACAAAAGTACATGACTTATATGCTGAAACTATAAAAGAAATTAGAGGGGATCTAATAAATTTAAAAAATTCCCATGATCATGAATTGGAAGACTTAACGTTGTCAAGATGGCAATACTCTTATAAATTGATCTATAGATACAGTGTAATCTCCATTAAAATCTGAGCTGTCTTTATAGAAGAAACTGACGAGTTGGTTCTAAATTTTATATGGAAATGTAAGAGATCCCAAATAGCCAAAATAATCTTGGAAAGAAAAAAAAAAAAGAACTAAGTTGGAAAGCACTTCCCAATTTCAAAACCTACTACAAAGCTACAGCAATCAAGTCTGTGTTGTGCTAACATAGGATACACATATTGATCAATGGAAGAGAATCCAGAGTCCACAAACTCTCACATTTACGATCAATTGATGTTAGACAAGGGTTTTAAGGCTATTCAATGGGGAGAGGATGGCCTTATGATGCTGGGACAACAAGGTATCCACATGCAGGACAATGAAGTTGTCACACCCTACTCACACCATTTACAAAAATTTACTCAAAATGGATCAAAGGTCTAGACATGAGAGCTAAAACCATAAAACTCTTAGAAGGAAACAGACATAAATCTTTGTGACCTTGAGCAGTCAATGGATTCTTAAATATGATGTCTAAATCACAAGCAACCAAAGACAAAAGTGGACAAATTGAACAGTTTCAAAATTTAAAACTTCTGTTCTCCAAGGATTCCACCAAGAAAGTAAGAAGACAATCCACAGAAGAAGAAGAAATATCTGCAAATCATATCTGGTAAGGGTCTCGTCTCCAGAATAGACAGAATAAAGAACTCTTACAACTCAATGGTAGAAGGACAAATTACTCAAGTTTAAAAATGAGCAAAGGGTTTGAATAGACATTTCTCCAAAAAGATCTACAAATAGCCAATAAGCACATCAAAAAGTGATCATCATCAGTTGTTAGGAAAACATGTCAGAATTGTAACAATATGGCCCTTTGTACCCACTGGATAGCTACAATCCGAAAACAGACAAGTGTTGGCAAGAATGTCAGAATGTACAATGGTGCAGCTACTTTGGGAAATAGTTTGGCTACCTATTTGTTTCCTATTGTTACTGTAAAAATCACCACAAATTTAGTGGCTTCCAACAACACATTCTTTCACAGTTCTGGAGGTCAGAAATTCATCATCAGCTTCACTGGACTAACGGCAGGGCTGGCCCCTCCTGGAGGCTCTTAAGGAAGAATCTGTCTCCTTCCCTTGTTCAGCTTCTAGTGGGGCCACCTGCCTTCCTTGGCTTGTGATCCCCTCCCTCCATCTTCAAAGCACAACATGCTAATCTCTGCTTCTGTGGCCCTATCACCTTCTGCTCTAACTTGTCCTTCATCCTTATTATAAGGACCAATGTGATTACACCAGACCCATCCAGCTAATCCAGAATAATCTCCCCATCTCAAGATCCTTAACTTAATCACACCTACAAAGTCCCCTTTGTCATACAAGGTAACATTTACAGGCTCTGGGGGTTGGGAGATGGAGCTATTTGGGGGGAAGGGGCACTATTCAGTTTACCACAAGCAGTTCCTCAAAGAGTTAAATGGGATAATCATAGGACCCAGCAATTCTACTCCTAGGTATGCTCAAGAGAATTGAAAATATGTCCACACAAATACTTGGGCACAAAGCAGCATTATTCATAATAGCCAAAAAGTGGAAACACAAGTCCACCAACTAATGAATGGATAAACAAAATGTGGTATATCCATACAATGAAGTATTTTTTTAAGATTTTATTTATTTATTTGAGAGAGAGAGAGAACACGAGAGGGGGAGGGTCAGAGGGAGAAGCAGACTCCCCAGTGAGCAGGGAGTCCGATGTGAGACTCGATCTTGGGATTCCAGAATCACGACCTGAGCCGAAGGCAGTCGCTTAACCAACTGAGCCACTCGGGTGCCCCCATACAATGAAGTATTAATCAGCTATAAAAGGAATGAAGTACCAACACATGTTACAACATGGACAAACCTTGAAAACATTATACTGAGAAAAAAAATAAACCACACAAGGCAACTTGGAGAACGTGTACAGCTATTCTGTTTGAGGACCCCTACTGTGTCATCAGGCCCACTTGCCCAGATTGAACTCATCTCTGCCCCATAAGAGTCCTAATCCCAGCAGGGTGCAATGATGCACGTGGATGGCTAAGGTGGGACATAGATGGTGACAGATCATAAAAGGCATGTAGATACAAGTCTATTGGAGTCAAAGAAGAGAAACTCCCCTATCAGGTCATTCCAGAAAGGATTTGCAAAAACAGTGTTGGCCTGCAAATCAACCCAGAACTTGCACTTAGGGAAGTTGGGGTGGATGGGGAATGGAAGATAGAGGACAGCATTCGGGTCCCAGGCAAGACTTTGTATGTTGAGTGACTGGATGCTTCTAACAGAGAGAGAACATTCGTAACCCCTCATTTCCTGTTTCTGGCCGAGTGGTGGTAAGTGAATTTCCATTAGAAGCAGCATCTTGTGTACCCCACCCTGCTCAGAAAACAGATCCCAAACTCACAGCCACAAACCTAATGCCCTTTAGCTTTCCGAAACCACCAGCTCAGCTCTAACCATGATCTCTCCACCCCTTTCCTCAAAGACTCTCAATTAGAACTTGCAAGTTCTGAATCTATTAAAACATTTTCAAGCCAGAGAAACTTGCTAAGGACGTGTTTCTCACACACACAACTCTCCTGAACACCACATTGCCAATGTACCCCTTTGGTTAGTTGTCCAGAAGCTGGGTCAGGGGAGAAATTGGTGATATTTCTTCTCTTTAAGGCCTGCTCATCTTTCTTGGCCTTCCGGAGCTCCAGGCTGACTGCCATCCGCTGTTGCCGCCTCATCTGGTGAGGAAAAGAAAGAATTGGAGCCCTTAGAGCAGGGAAGTCAGGTTTTCACCACATTTAGCTTTTAGAACACTCATCAAAGCATCAGATTTCACTCTTACAGATGCAACAGGCTGGAAGAGTTAAGATCACACAGCAAATAGTCTCAGCATGGTTTACTTCTTCTGCTTTCTCCTACTATACCACATCCACGAAAATAGTCAAACTTCTTCCCAAAGTGAAGGAAGCCTATCTACAGTCTTGGCAGGCCAGGAGTCTCTCAGCTGCAGAGCCATCTGAGCAAAGCATCCCATTGCCCCGAGTCTGAGCCCATCTTCCTCAGTGCTGATTGGTCCCTGAAGAGCAGGTCAGGGCTTCCCAACTTTGGGGATCCAGGCACGGCTGGGGACTATGAAGTCCATGAAGACATGCTCCACATGACCCTGACCATTTCCACCATTAGGGATCAGTCTACAGGTCATTCAAGCCTTGATCCCGTCCCAGGAGTCTTACTTGGATGCCAGACTGAGGGAGATTAAAATTAAAAACAAAACAAAACATACCCTTTTTTTCTTGGATCAAAAGAAACTCATAGACTTTAGTAGCATCGAGAATCCTGGGGGAAATGATCTATTCTTTAGATTAGATCTCTATTTTGCTATATTTGCTTTGTCATCCCCATCTTCTGATCCTCCACTCCATTTTTTTTTTTTTTTAGACAAGGAGTGCTCATGTGCGTGAGCATGCATGCACGTGAGCAGGGGAAGGGCAGAAGGGTAGGGAGAGAGAGAATCTTAAGCAGGCCCCAGCCCCAGTGTGGAGCCACCAGGGCTCAATCTCTCCACCCTGAGATCACGTCCTGAGCCGAAATCAAGAGTTGGATGCTAAACCAACTGCACCACCCAGCCACCCCTGCTCCACCCCATTTTTTATGCATTTCAACCATGAGATTTTCACTACACTGCTCCTCCATAGAGTGAAGTGGTGGCTGGGTACTCACAGACGCATCTTTGCCTCGGTACTTAAATTTTCTCAGCCTCTCTTCGGGAGCATCTAAAGTCGGCATATTGACTGGAAGCAGTAAACCACCTGCCGGTAAGACAGTTATCAAGAGAGTCAGTGCTCAGTGTGCGGGTTCCTATGCCACAGCCATCCTTGCTCTAAGCCCTGGAAGGGCTCACAGTGGATGGGAGAGCAGCTTCCATAGGCATTCCCACGCTGGCTCAACAGGGAACGAGCACCATGGGAACCAGAGGCTAGCCCTGGGCTGCAGGAGGGAGGGATACCTCTTGGAGTCAGTTCCGCTTGAACTGGGCCTTTAATGGCTAGGGTAGGTTGGAAGGAAAGCCCAGAACCCTCTCATGTGGCTGTATCCTAGGAGTTCTGTACAAAGCGTATGCGCAGGATGGTGGCGCCCAACCAGGACAGGAAGATGGCCTCTTCTCCCACACCCAGTCCACCAACCCTCGGGTCACGATGGTCTCAAGCATGATACGCTCCTTCTAATTCTGTGGTTGATTACCTCGACCCCGGACCAGGCCACCATCATCTTCCAGCTACTCTATGGCAACCGCCTTCCACCTGTTCTCCCCGCTTCTACCATTGCTGTATTCCAATCTGTTCTCCACACAGAGGCCACGTGATCTCTTAAAGATAATTTTCTCTGCTTTAAACTCTCTAGTGGCTGCCTGCTGAGTTCAGAAGAAAACTCAGACTCTCTATGATGCCCACCCTGTGTGAGCTGGCCCCAGCCTGCTTCACCAAGAGCAACACTTTGAATTTCCATCTAAGAATCTAAGTATCATCCCAGTCGGTTTTTATATTCTCCAGAGCTTTTACCACCACCTAAAATCTTGTTTGTGCATCTTCCTTCCCTTTGCCCCAATGACAATGGGGTCATGTGTGTCTTATGTATAATTCCTCAGCCCTTTCACGATGCATGACATAGAGTAAGTAGGCACTCAAGTATTTGTTGGATGAGGATGGTAGGTAATAGGTCACAAAGGGAGCTGGTCCCTAATTAGAGGAGGTTATTCAAATCAGGCCACATTTTAACTTTCTACAAGGCAGTGGGGAATGACGTTTCTTACAAGGGTGCAATGAGTATCCATCTGTTTCCAAGTACACGGGATGAGCCAAACTACACTGCAGAGAAAAGAAAACTGGATAAAGATGACCAGAGTCTATTGACTCTATTCTTGAATGTAGAACAGCTGGGATTAATTTCGGGAGGAAAGACTAATTTAGACACATCAATTTGGATGGGACAGTGTAGACAAGTAGGAGAATTCCAGAAGCAGAGAGCCAAGACTGAGGTCTTGAGAAGAGAGATGAACTCTGTGAGATGACTGAACAAGAACTCAATCTTGGTGATGTTCCCTACTAGGGCCCAAAAGAACAAAGAACCAGCAAGGGACAAGGAAAAAGAAGGGAATTTGAGTCAGAACAAAAGAAGGATAGTGTCCAAGGCACTGTTGGTAACAGCAGCTAACGGGCCGGGCACAAGTCCCTAAACAAAGTGCCACCAGCCACCCACAGCTGGATAGAGCCAATGGGCTGAGCCTCAGAGCAGAGGCATAAGCAGCTCAGGACTGAGAGTAACCATGTCCTATACTTTCATCTACCTTTAAGTAACCTCAAAATCTGCTCTATAAGGAAGAAGAGTAGCTTTGGGGGACCAAAAAGTAAATCAGAACACTCCTTAAAAATTTTTTTTTTTAAAGTAGGCTCCGCACCGCACCCAACATCAGGCTTGAACTCACAACCCTGAGATCAAGGGTCACACGCTCTACTGAATGAGCCAGCCAGCTGTCCCCAGGCCATCCTTTAAAACACCAGCTCAAAAGAGTTTTCTAGTTGCTATAATAACCAGGGTCAAGAGAGTTATCAGCTGGAAACGGAGATTTAGTTTGGAGCGAGGAGCTATACCCTACATCTCCAAGAGATAAGGCTCATGGCATTTTCTAAATCTGGAGTTGAGTAGTATTAAGGGCCCGGTTCAGGGAGTAACGGGCAAAACACATTTATCACATGCCAGGAATGCTGCACACTTGGGATTAAATGAAGCAATGTTAATAGTAAGGTAGAGATGGGGCGCCTGACTCTTGATTTCAGCTCAGGTCATGATATTGAGGTCATGGTATCAAGCCCCGCTTTGGGCTTTGTGCTCAGTGGGGAGTCTGTTTAGGACTCTCTCCCTCCCCCCACTTGCACACACTCTCAGGCGTGCGCTCTCCAAAATAAATAAAATTAAAAAAAAAAATAGTAAGGTAGAGATAGCCCCATTTTGCAGATGGGGAAACCATCTCAGAGGTCGCTTCCCTCGGAAGCCCAGAGTGCCCACAGCTGTCAGGCATCAGCATCAGGACTACAGCCTAGATCGGACTCCTGCGTCCATGCTTTGGATCACTAAGCTTTGCAGCCAACAGTCTGTAAGTAGTTCTGATGAGGAAAACAAGTCACCCTCATGGGTGGCGCTTAACACATGGAGGAGATGTTGGAAATAGGAAAGCACAGGTCTCCGGCAAGGGAGGCCACCTCTGAAATACTCCGCTAATGCATTGCCACTTCACTGCTGTCTCACTCACTGTTCGCGGCCCCACCAGCTCGGTCCACAAGACCCTCTGAATGTGCCTCAGAACGAGGCCAGTTTGGTACAAGGGGATGAAATGCTTTGGTTTCTGGCGAGACCCAAGACAGTGCCTGGCTCCAGGACTATTCCATGAGAACCATTCATCTTTCAGCCACAGCCCAGAACAAATGGCCATTAAGGAACCTTGGAAGTAGGTCCAGAGGTTCAGATGAGCGCTACCTTCCTTCAAATATCAAGGGGAAGGCCAGTATGGCACAAGCAGAAAAAGCTCAACTTCAGAGGGAACAGTGTCCTCCTCCTCTCCCCACCCACCCCCCTGGGGGGCATCTTGAAGGAACAGTTTGAAAGTCACAGATGTAGCCAAACCATTCATTTGGGGACAATCTGAAGAACGAATTCTTCTGGCTTTCACAGGTTTCTCTAGTCACAGCTCAGAGTGTGCTTCCTTCCCTCACATTGCTGTTTGCAGCATCCAGGAGAACCACCACCCTGCCACCCTTCACCAGTGACATCAAGAGCCAAGCTGGAGGCTTTGAGTTAGGTACAAGATCAAAGTCAGAACCTTTCGTCATCAGTTCCCAGAGTCTGAGATCCAAAGAAAGCCAAACTGGTTATTTGGGCAAAGAGCACCAACTTAGGGGCATTATTTACACGCACCCCCGGCTCAAGCAGCTCTGCAGCTCCCCGCACACTAGGAGACTCTACCCTGGGAGAGTCAGGTGGCAGAGGCCCCACCAAGGGTCCCTGGCCATGCTCATGGTCTTCCAGGCTCCCAAGCGGCTCCTGACCTTTCATTCTTTTTGACTGAAGAGAAACTAGGGACTCCTAAGTCTTGTTCATGGCACTGAGTCACTTTCTCTGGTTGGAGCATTACAGGCCATTTTTAAAATACTTCTTCTAGATCTAGCCAAGCTTTGAGTGTTAGCATCTTTCAAGAACTGAGAACTATTTTAAATTAAGATCGAGATCATCCAAGAGTTGGCTTCTAGAAAGGCGCATTTCTCTGATTTTACATTAACACTCATGGTATAGACAATTTAATACCTCAGAAATGTATTGAGCATTAACTCCCATAACCTACCCTCCTCCAAGTTAGCCTTTAAAAACTCACACCCACCCTGGGGGGCTAATTCTGGAAGAGGAGTTTCATAGACACGGTTTGGCCACACATTTCTCCACTTGCCTGTACTGTGGATTTTTTTTTTTTTTTAAGATTTATTTAAGTAATCTCTACGCCCAATATGGGGCTCAAACTCACGATCAGGAGATCAGAGTCACATGCTCTACCCACTGAGCTAGCCAGGTGCCCCAACTTGGGACATCTTTTGATGTCAGAATGCTCAGATCTGGGGTACCTAGGTGGCTCAGTCATTAAGCATCTGCCTTTCGGCTCAGGTAATGATCCCAGGGTCCTGGGATCAAGCCCCACGTTGGGCTCCCTGCTCAGCGGGAAGCCTGCTTCTTCCTCTGCCTCTCCCCCTGCTTGTGTTCCCTTTCTTGCTGTGTCTCTCTGTCAAATAAATAAAATCTTAAAAAAAAAAGAATGCTCAGATCTACAGCACTAACAGCCACTTCTTCAAACCAAGTGGGATATAAGTTAAAACTACACATGGGGTTGGAGTGAGGGTCATTCCCTGGGAAGACCCACTGACCTCAGCCCCAGTGACGGGTCAGCAAGCAGGCATGAGTACAGGGATGAAGCAACAGTCATGGGAGTGTGCAGGCCTGGGGGGGCGGGGGTGCCATGAGGGCAGGGACCCCACCTTGGTATTCACGGGGCTTTACCAACATGGACAAGACGTGTCCAGACCCGAAGTTTGATGGAGGGAGACATACAGTCAGGCGTCCCTCCAAGGCTCACATTGGCCCAGAGGGGAGGCAGAGGTCACAGCAAGAAAGGACGCAGGACCCCAGGCCCTCTTCCCAGGGATCCTACCTCAGGGCTTGGGAATGCTCTGGGAGGGGGCAGAATCAGCCGGGGACGATTCCCACGGGTGAACATGTCCTGGGGGATATTTCAGGGAAAGGAAAGACAGGTAAAGGCGCAGACACACAGATTTATAGGCTGCTGTATGGTCAGGCTCCCCATACCCTGCCAGCCCCCATCTGGGCTCTGCTGAGTAAACAGACATGCAGCAATCGCCACATCCTCCTTACCCACCCAGAAAACAAGCCAAGTGCCACTTCGCGCAGTTTCGTTAAACCGAGACCGAGTTCAACAAGGAGAGACCCAGCCTGGGCTGGAAGCCGTCCCTCTGAGGAGGCCACTGGCTTTTGCCAGGGGGGGTGTTGCCAAGACTGCAGCAGCCTCACCCAATCCCCAGGCAAGAGCTAGGTGTCTCGTCTATACCCAGACAGAGGAATCCGGGAGGGCACGGCCACATTGGGAGCTCCCGGCACCCACCCTCTCACCACTCACCTGGAAGACAGCCACAGCCTCCAGCCCCCTGGCCGGCCTTAAATGCCCTCAGAAGGCAGCAGGTGTTTTGGGCATTTGACCCCTCCCCCCAGGGTTGGTCTCTGACCGAAGTCAATGGATCTTAGCTCTGGGTGCACATTGGAAGCACCTGGGGAGCTCTGAGCAGCCGGCCACCTGGGCCCCAGCCCTGAGGCTGATTGAGTTGGTCTAGGGGGAGGCCCTGATCTCCAGGTGCTTCTCATGTCCGGATGAGGCAGAGACAGCCTCAGAGCTGCCATGGACCTTCAGCCTCTGCAGCTGCAGCCTCCCTCCGGGAAGGGGTTTGCATGCTGGGAGTTTAAGGTTTCTGGGATCTGGCTAGATTGGCCTCCCCCTAAAATTGGAGTATTAGGGTTGATGCTGCCGTGGAATAGTTAGCAAGTGTTTATTCCCAAGGCAGGCAGGGAGATTGGGTGCTGGTGAGAATGGGTTGGCTTCGTATCAAATTGGAAATTGGAACAAGCTTTCACATGTTATTCAACTGGGGTGCCTCGGTGGCTCAGGCGGCCGAGCATCCAACTCTTGATCTCAGGGTTGTGAGTTCAAGTCCTACATTGGGTATGGAGCCTAGTTTAAAAAAAAATGTTAAAGGGCATATGCTTCTAGAAATTTTGGGGTGCGTGGCTGGCTCAGTCAGTGGAGAATGTGACTCTTGATCTCAGGCTTGCAGGTTTGAGCTCCACATTAAATGTAGAGATTATTTTAAAATAAAATCTTTTAAAAAAAATCCAAATATTTACCGAGTCCTCACTGTGTGCCAGGCCCGGACATGCAACAGTGAATATGATGAGTGGGAGCAGGACCACAATTGGGACAACACAAGGCAAGGGAGGTCAGGGAGGGTTTCCGGGAGGAGGTGATGTCAGAACCAAGTCCTCAGGAAAAGCAGAAATTAGCAGGTGAAAAACTGTGAGAAAAAATGCTCCAGGCTGAAGGAACAGCATAGGGAAAGGCACTGAAGCGAGAAAAATGGCCATGGTTCTCCTGGGAACAAAGGTCGTTCAGGATTGC